TGTATCCATTGTGTCAAGCACATATGTCCAAATTCAGTCGATGAAGCACACATATCCTTGTTAACAAATCCAGGCAAAGACATCACCAATGTACAGACCAATATAGCTCATACACAGATGCAAACACTCTCAACAAAATCCTAGCCAATATAATCCACCAAATATTGAAACAATAATACATTGTGACCAACTGGGTTTTATACTAGGTGTGCAAGGAAGGTTCAACATCAGAAAAACAATCAGTGTATTCCACCACATAAATAAAACAAAGGATAAGAACTTCATATCATATTGACCAGTACATAAAAGATATTTGGAAAAAAAAGTCAGCACCTGTTCCCCAAACCACTACCCATCGGACTGCCAACTACAAGTCAACAGTTTGAACCCACCGGTCACTGTGCAGGAGAAAGACTAGTCCAGCTCCCACCAAGGGTGCAGTCTCAGAAACGCACACAGGCGGTTCTACGTTGGCATTGACCTGATGGCAGTGAATTTAACAGAGAGCTCTGAAAGAACATTTTAAAAATAATGAAATTTTCAACACTTCAGAATACATACAAGAGAATAAAAGACTTAACAAAACCACAAAACAGTACTACAAGGAATGCAGAGAACTGTACACAAATGTCAGAACAGTCCACGTTCATACATAGGAAGACTTCAGATTGTGAAAATAGCAATACTACCAATTCTGCAGACACAGCGCAGTCCGGATCCCCTTTTGTCTAAGAGGCAAACCAGCAAGTGCCAGCAGAATCCAATGTTCTTATTAATCAGTGACTTGTGTGCCTCATGTTCCTTTTCAAATGATAGTTTCCATCATAATTATGATATCTCTTTCACCCGTTAGCTATTTGGTGTTGGGCATATATCTTATCTTTTAGTTTCCAAGTCACTAGCTGCAGTAAAATGAATTACTTATATGAGTGCTCTAGCTATAGCTTTATCCACTCCCACCAAATGACCTATGTTTTCCAGCTGGTCTGAGCAAGAAGGTGGGAGAAGATACTGATAGGGTTGTGATTCAGCTATGATTGATTTTTAGCAGAGTTCATTATGATTGACATCTTGTTAAGTATAAAAACACCCCAAACATCTCAGAACAGGAAGGGTAGATTTTGTTACCCTAAACAGAAGATCCTGGAGTGGAGAGTGTCTTTGGACTCTGCACCTGGTTTTCCTTTCTCTGCTTGACCTTGGGACTTGAGTTGTGCCCTATCCCTTGACCTTGAGGATTAGGAAAATCTCCCAGATGTATGTCTGAATTTTGGGTTTATCCCAGGTCACAACTATGTCAGCCATTTCCCTTCACATTGTGAGTTTTAGGTGGCCATTACAGTGAATCACAGAACCCTTGGCCATACAGAATATATTAAGGAGAGAAGGTGGTGGTTGACATCAGAGATGACAGCAGTTTGGAGAAGCGGGACATTTGGGGCATATTGACCCTCCACCTTCGTGAAACTGAGGCGTCCTGGCGACGTTGTGGGTTATGCGCGGAACCGCTAGCCGGAAACTCAGCCCTGGGGAAGCCCCGCCGCTCGGCAGGAGATGGATGAGGTTTCCACTGCTGCAGGGCTTCCTCCGCAGAGGCGTGCGCGGGGGTCGTGAGGGTCACTATGAGTTGGAATGGGCTTGATGGCAGGAGTTCGGGTGTTTGCTGAATCTTGGGTTAATTTTTTTAGAAAGAAATTCTTTCTACAATTGTTGTCAGATGGGTTCCAGATTTATAGCAACATCATATATATATAT